AGATATCAAAAAAGTACTCCAGAGTGTTGTTCAGCATGGGGGTGAGTAGAAAATGAAGGCTAATCATGTTTTGGGTGTACTATTCCTTTAAGAGAATAAAGTCCTAAAATTACGAGAAACAAGTTGTATTTTATGACAATTCCTATAAGAAGCCCTTTCTTCAATAAAATGGAAATGTCAACAACAATGTTAACTATTTCAAAGGAACTCAAAAGGAGAATAAAAAAACAAAAAAAAAAAAACAACTTTAAAGAAAAATCACAGGTTAATGACTAACTGTAGTTCTGAACTCCACCAGTAGATGGTGACATGTTCACATGAAGCTTCATGAACTGTGAGGATCTTTGAAGCAATTAGGCCTAACGGTTCGATGCCTCATGAGGCTTCATCTCACCATCACTAGTTGAAACTCAGCAGCCAAAAGACAAACTGTTTATTCGAGCATTTAAACTGTCCTCTTCTCCCCCCTCCTCCATCTTTAGGTGAGGTATAAGGCAAAAGAGGAGGGGCAGCCCACTCCTGCTCCTTACCGGCCACCAGCCAGGCGGGTCAGCACCCGTCGCTCCAGCTACGCCTTTTCCCACTCCCGGGGCTACGGCAATCTGGTGACCTCCCGCAAATTCCTGCGGCTGAGGAAACCTTCGTCTCTGTTCAACCGAAAGGAGGCGGCTGTGGTGGAAACTCAGCCCCAGTTCTACCGGACCATAGCAGAGGAGACGGAGGAGTCTCACACTTAGGATGCAATCAGAGACTGAATGACAATCATTTGTGTTCCTACTTTGGAACCAAACCAAGGAATGGCTGGGAAAGGATGCCACAGGGGACGACTCAAATGATGGTGTTATTAAAATGAAATTTACACTGAATTAATGTTTATTGATGATACATAATGACCTCATTGTGAGTATATTGCATTGAGCAAAATATGCAATAAAAGCTCAGTCTGGTGCTTTCTTTATGTTTTTCCTATTTATTGCTAAATATGTCAGTGTGAAGGCTGGTTTTAGGCTATAGGAGATGGAAAGAAACAACCTTATGAGGCGATTCAGTCAGTTCTAGGGAAGGAAGGAAGGATGGAAGGAAGGAAGGAAGGAAGGAAGGAAGGAAAAATCAGGATCTTCCACCATTTTTATGTAAAAATCAACTGGATGTTAATAAAGTTCATGGTCCACTCTAAAGAAAGGCCCCCAGCATAACATTTCCTCCACCATGCCGAACCACAGGAGTGAAAATGGTTTTCCGGGTTGCTTGTTGTTGCTCTAATGTGTATATATGTCTGTTTAATTATATAATGATAAAGAATTTATGTAAGCAGTTGATATTTTGTAGAATATAGATTCCTGAGTTATTTTGATCAACATAAAGTCAGATGTTAGAAATTAAGGTAATTCAGAAACTGTGATGAACTTAATTATGTTTTTTCTTTTGTCCAAACATAATTTCCTCAATAAATCCATTTAAATCAGGGGATGGAGTTTATAAACAATTATACATTTTGAATGAATGCTACAGAAATAAAATCTGGATTCATTTAAAGCCTTTTTAGGCATCTTTTCCCCACATGAAGGACCTTGATCCTGGAGATTAAAACATAATAAAAATTTCCCATTTCATGCCCTGTCAATACATTTAGGGGGTCCCCGCTCCATCTCGCCAACGATTTGGGGGTCCTTGGCCTGGAAAACGATGAAGACCCCTGATTTAGGGCAATAAACCCTAAAGCTTCGTTCTTAATTTGGCTTAAAACAGAATGATACCAGGAAGAAGAAGAAATGTACGTGAAACATGTATGAAACAAGTCATTGAGTGTTTTCTGGTGTAGTGTTTACTAAAAGATGAAAACTGATGACATCATTGTAAACAAAACATTTTTGTTTATTCGGGTTAGTAATGCATCTTAAAACCTGACAAGCGAGGACCACCCTGTTAGACGCTGATTTAAAGGTTTGATGAAGCAGGATGTGATGATGGTGATCATGGCAGACCCAGATGGGAGGAACTGGAACCAGTAGAAAAGTGAAAAGAAGTGAAGAACGAAGTCATAGAGCAAGAGAAGCTGGATGAGGGTAAATTAACAGATGATGCACCTTTCTCCTCTTTAACCTTGAAGTTTTCTGGTCTCCAGATGAAATCCTGTCTTTGTCTTTCATTCCTCCAACCAAGCTTTATTCTCCAGCCTGCAGGAAGCCTCTGTAATAACCCCACATGTCCACTGTGTGGAGCTGTTCCCCATTAGTCATCAGCTCATTTATGTTTCTGTTGGTTTGATAGAACTTTATTACTCCTTGGGTAGAGGAAATTATTAGTGAAACTTTTATTATCTGTATAACAGTAAATCTGTTTTTTTTTTTTATCATAATTTAATTTTTAAAACTAGATATAAACGGTAGGTTGGAATACATATTTTTAGCAATTAGATAACTTTTGAATCGAACGAGCCAAATTAGTAACAGTTGATGTTCTCTAATTCATGGTTTCTTAGCCCTGGTCCTCATTTTTAGATGTTTCTCTACTCAAGCATACCTGATTCTAAGGATTGCATTGCCTCCTCAGCAGCCATTAAAATCTGCAGAACCCTCTTGATCACCTTTTCATTCAGGTCAGGTGTGTGGAGGCAGAGAAACACCTAAAGCAGGTTCCAGAAAGGACCATGTGGCTGCAGGTTTTCCTTCCAACCAAACAATCGCACACCAGACTCCAATCATCTCATCAAGTCATTATGTTCAGATTTGACTCCCACCTGTGACCTAAAGCAAGCAGAGCTGTGGGCCCTGAGGACCAGTTAAGAATCCCTAATCTAATTTCCAGAACATCTCATAGAACTTGATAGGTTTCCCTTGTTGAACTTGATTAAAGAAGATTAGCTAAAGCTGAAAGACTGAAACTGACTTGTTTTCAGTCCGAATCCTCAAAAAATGAAACATTCTTCTTTATCTCTGACTTCTGTCAAACTTCTACTATTAGGGGCCCCTAATAACCTTCAACACGGGCCCATAATCCTGGGAGGAGATGCATATAAAGCAGGGCAGGAACTCCTGGAACTTTTAAATATATCCTTGACTTAACACACCTGAATCAAATAAATAGCTCCCAGTATGC